AGGAGATCGGGCTGAAACTATAGCTACAAGCTATCCAAGGATGGTACTATAGAATGTCACCTCAAGGTAGGCCTAGTGGCGTCATCTCTTGGTTAGGCCGGAAACTTATCAATCCACCCTCGTATTAATAGATAAATATTTGCTTTGGATCGGGCTGCCTTTATAAATGTAACGAACTATAATTCAATTTTTTGTAAAAATTAAAATTTAACATAACAACATCCCTAACTGCAGCACATTGATAAAATATAATTTAAAGAAAAAAATTCATCAATCCCCTTTATTGAATCTGGAAATATAGTTCAATTATAGCCTCTGTTTTAAATTGTCCCGGCGCCTCCACCAAAATTTTTTATCAATTTGTTTAGTTAATGGTTACATTTCTGTATTTTTATGACCATCTTATTGTCGACATTAAACCGATTGTTTACAATAGAAATTAACTGAACATTCTTAATCTGTAACTAAATATTTTTTGACAATTCCAAATATTTGTGTGAGTTTCCAGTAGTTAGAAACATTACTAATTTATTAATTATTTCTACGTAATTTTTGGTAATTTGTTCAAGAACAGTATTGAATTTCATGTACTAAAGCTATTTAATTGAGAAAATCATTTTATAACTTTCTTTACAGTTTCTTTATTAGGGTTGTAATATTTGGTGTATGTTGGGTCCTCTATACATTATACCACAAATTATAGTTTAATATATAGTAAAAAATATACAAATTTACATCACCAATTGTATCTACATGCAAAAACTATAATTTAAAGACGAAAATTCATCAACCTACGTCAATGAAATCAGAATTATAACTTAATTATAGCCTTTATCTAAAAGTGTCCCGGCGCCTCCACCAAAATTTTATCTAAAATTATATTAATTGCTAACATATTTGTGTCTTACCTTCGACAACTAAACGATAGTTTGCAAGATTAGCAGCCTACAATGACCACCATCAATATTAAATTTGATCTTGCAAACAAACTCGCAAAAAACACAATACATTTAATTAAAAGAGCCGATGCTCAAATTTTGTAATCTTTACTGGTTGTACAATTACATTAGTTAATAAAAGAACTGAACGTTTTGAGTCAGTGTACGAGTTTCTTTGCGCAAAAAGGATAATAAATTAATATTAAACAGCATTTTACTGTGTAAATTACACAATGATACACTTAACGTTATCAGCAATTATTAAAATTTGTATCGAAAATTTTGGTGAAGGTGCCGGGATATTTTAGGACAGACTATAATTAATCTATAATTTTGGTTTCATTGATGAATCTGATAGATTGATGAGTTTTCATCCCTAAATGTTATTTGTGCATATAGATGCAGTTGAACATGTTAATTTACATCTTTGTTTTTACAATAAAATTTACTACAAATTATAGTATATATAGACAACCCAACATACAGCAAATACTACTACTCTTATAAAAAGGGAAAATAATTGAAAAAAATTGATAAATTAGTACATATAGATGCGTAGCTGTCATTCTGTCTGTATATTAAATTTCAGCAAAGCATTTTGATTTATTAAAAAGTGAGAAATAATTTAAAAAAAAAGACGTTTACTTTTGCAAAACTTTTTGCTTTCAATTTATATTAAACAAGTTATAAATAGCAGCAGGACCCGACTGCCGTCTGTCTATCGCTTGTTAACCACTTCTTATTGGCAAGTAAATCTTGGTAGGTACTATTATTGTGAAAAAAGATAAACCAAAAACATTTTAAATAATTTATTTTAATCAGTTGATATAATGTTACTGTAAAAGAAAAAGAAATAAAGAAATATACATGAATACAGATAAAAATATGTAAATTAATTTACGACATCCAACTGGTTTTCTCGAGGGTAATTAACGAGCTTTTGATAGGGTTTTTAAGTCAGCAATACACTTATTAATGTTTGCTTTTTCCTGATCTGGTGTAATAGAGGCAAGAACCTTTCTAACCACGTAATCCACAAGGTTCTTATGATGAACTTGGCGCTCTGCAGTAATCCTTGCAACCTGATAATCAAGTCGTTTCTTGACTGTTTCATAAACACTGAAAAGCCTTGCACGATAGGCAGCTTCCAATTGTAAAGCCACATTCTGCTTCTTGGCTTCTGTTAGAAGTAACTGACCCTCTGCACTTTTTTGTAAATTCTTCTCATCTTCAATTTGCTCTGCAAGAATTTTTTTTTCTTCTTCTCTACCAGAATTCCAGGCTTTCTCGTATTCCTGTCATGAAAAGAGTTTTTAGAAAATTTTGTAACAAATAATTATTCATTTTAAACATACATCAATTTCTTTGTCCAAATACTTAGCCAATGGTGGACCAAGTTTCTTAACACCCACAATACAGAAGATAAGCAAAGACAACCCAGTGTAATATTCATGTTCCATTACATATATTTCTTTACTAATTAAGTATGTTGATAAGGTGGTTGCAAAGACATAAGGGCCAGTGACGCCTGTCTTTTTATAGAAAAACTGGAACCATTCTTCAGGAACAAAACCAAGTCGCACTTTACCAGGTTCTTGCCTGACCTTAAAGTTAATAACATATGTATTTGATCACTGTAATGAAGAACAAAAGGCAAATAGCACATTTATGAACACTAATGAGTTCAAAATGAATTCTTATTGGTTTCATAAAAATAAAAGAACGTCACAAGGGTTAAACTATTTAACTTACAGGTCGTGGAAATTGTGAACCTCCAGATGATGGACTAACTGCAGAAGCTGAACTTACTGGAGTAGTTGTTGTTGTCCTAGCAGCAAAAGCCAAGAGAGCCTTTGCTTGCTGATCTATTAAGAAAGAAAAGTTGGTTGATTATGTAAAAGATTAAAACAAATGAATATGAATATAATTGAGGTTATGTATGTTCACATTAATCATTTTAAAATACGAAAATAAGTATACTTACTTGTTAAAATTGCACCACGAGATAGCATCATAATGATATATTTTTGAAGAAAGCTTCTACAATTAATCCCACTAATTTAAAAGAGCTCAAAAATCTCCGCTAATTCCGAATTTTCACATCCAGATTGAGAGTTGCCTATACGGATTACATAAGAGACCCCCACTCACAGGAGCGAATAACTATTTATTTCGTAAAATACTACTTAATATTTTTAATATTGACTCCTCACGAACGATTATTATTTAATTTAGATATTTTTCTGCATTATTCAATTATCCGATTCGTTTTTGCAACAAAGGAACAATGTACATAAATAGGAATTCATTTTTTTATTCGCCTCTGTAAGGTTATCATCAAAGCAACCTATGAACACGTAGTGTGGTTTTAGCATTTAACAGAAGGTGGCGCCACTGCTTCCTTTTGCTTAATTTTTCAAAAAGTAAGGGGAAGTACCGACAATAATAGGTACTGAACACCGAAGAGACTGAAAAGACTACAGAAAACTTAAATAACAACATAAAAACTGAGTGTACTTGTTAAAAAAAATGTTTTAATCTTTCAGAAATATTTTTTACGTTCACTTTTGTGTTTTCATTTAGATTTTATTTATATTTAAAAGTTTTTAATTCATAATGAAAAGTACCTTTCCTAAAAAGCACAAAACGTTATTATAACATACAAAATGGACTTGCAAACAGAAAACGCATTTTAATAAAGGAATAAATAAAAGCAAGAAGCCGAAATCTTTAAGCGAAGCGCTTTTGTTTATCTTTATATTTATTAAAATGGTTCAGCCGGTTTATTGGTAAATACATTGATTCGTATAAACGATACTATAAACTTGAAACCGCTAAAGTCATCAACAATTTTTAATTACGAAAATCTGCATTTTGAAAATAATATTGGCTCGCGTACAGTCTTAAATAATCTCAAGGTAATAATTAGGTATGTTGCCTGTAATTTCCTAAGAAAATTGCGTAATTAAAAAAAAAAATTGCTATGTATTGGTTTTGAAACATAACTTACAATTTCTTCGTTGAAGAAACATAAAAAATATGTTGGCGCCTTACTGATCAGCAATTAAGTTATAAATAGCAGCAGGACCCGACTGCCGTCTGTCTATCGCTTGTTAACCACTTCTTATTGGCAAGTAAATCTTGGTCGAGAGGTATAAAATCTCGCAAGGAATTTTATATGTACCAGAGGTATCGTCTGATATATAGAAATCGTTTTCGATTTTGCAGACAATAATGCCTAACATCAAAATTTATTAGATAACGACACCATGTCTGCAAAATTTGACCACAAGTAACTTAATCACAAAAAAAAATAGAACCTAAATACAAATTTTCATTAAAACTTGACTGCAACTGTAAATTATACAAAATTTATTACAACTGTGAAGTTATTGTTTACAAAATATTTTTCCTTATCAACAAAATAAAATCAAAAACAATACTACTTTTGTTTTCATCCCATTATATCACCACTCGAAATTCAAGGAAATTCATTTAATCCCAAGTCATACAATTAGTTATTTAACTTAAAATCCATTTTACAAAATAATATTATTTCACCCCATGTTGTACATTACATATTAACATAAATCGATCCTTCATCCTGAAATTCATTTGTTAATTTAAACTTAGCTGTACGTGGTTCCTTTAACTTCCATTTTTATCCTTCCTCACATCCCCTATTTTATTTCATTTAATCTGGCTTTGTTTCCTTTCTTTACAATTTCCTTAATTAGGATCAGCCCCCAATCCTTCTCGTTCATTAAATTTCTAAATTCATCCAGAGATTTACACATCACCCTCCTGACATATGCTTTAGCGATTCATCTTCCCTTTCACAAATTCTACATCTCGGCTGCTCCACTTTCGTCCAAAATTTGCACCCCTTACTTTTATTTCCCATTCGCAACGTGTGTATCCCTTCCTTCTCTTAGGTATTCTGGCATCGAATCCCCTTGTCATGTCTCCTACAATAATGCTTTTATTCCTATTCGTATATCGTGATTTTTGTATTCTTTTCAGGCCCTCTCTCCTTAACATCACACTTTATTCTCTGTCATTAATACCCATACTTCTCCATTCATCCATTTGCTCCTGTCTTAACTTCATTGCCTACCCTTTCTTCTTCGTATCTGCTCGTTTTACCTATCTTTAAGTATTCTTATTTTCCATACTTCTTTCTTTGTACCCCTTTCTATCAACCAAAACTTGAATGCAAGATTTCTACCTTCACTTCATACTAATAACAAGTTTGAACCACAAATTATTTAAATTAATTCCAGGAAAACCCCAAAGTTAATTAACTAAACAAATTCAACATTCAACAGTCCCAAAATCTGTCAGCGAATCTTTTCATTTAGGAAAAACGTACCGAATGACAATTCCCACTGCGACGTTCTGTTTAAAATTTTTCGAAAAGCAAAATATTCAACCAAAATATGTATTGTACAGTTGCGATATTGCAAACCTCTAAAAGATGTGTTTCATTTACAATAAGCTTTTCTAAAAAGCTTTAAATAGAAATATCAAAAACAGACTGAAAACCGAACAAGATGAAAACCAAAAAGAAAATTCAGGGAAAATATACGATATAATAGGGTTCCATGGCCGTCTGTAAATTTCGACATAATTAAATTAACGGAAAATTAATACTAATAATAATTATATAGTGGGATTAATGGGAAAAATTTATGGATACATTTTGCACTCCATCAGATAGAGTCAAACAATTTTTTTTTCCAATAATTTTTATTTTTCGGTTATCAATCCACAGACTATGACGTACAGACAGACGTTAGGGCCCAAATTAAATTTGCTTAGATGTAACTGTTGTTTGTTGTTGTTCCCATTATGTATTGATTTCTTCAGCGACGATCGCTGACTGTTTGATAATGTCCAGAAGCTGAAGAAATCAACAAATTCGTGTAATATAACAAACTACGAAGTATACATAATTAAGACCAATGGCGAACGCTGATTTTGGTCATTCATATTGTCGTTCTTATCAAAATATTGTTTAAAACTCATTTGAAATTCTTTATCTTAGATAAATACGTACGACTTGATTGTTTGCAGATTAAAGATTATTGAACTTTTTACTCCAGGTTTACAGGTTTCGTCGTGGTTTTGGTTTTGGATAGTATTGTGATTTGAGGATTTTAATACTGTTTCTAAATCGTCTTGATTAACTAAAGACCTGCGTACTTAACACTTAATTTTGCGAAATAAAATCTTGTTTGCTGATAGCAAAATCGTAATCTTTCTAATTTTAATTTGAAAATGTGTGTACAATTTGTATTTTGGTAATTCACGAAAACTGCTAGATACTCAAAGGGTATCACTATCACTATATAGTATAAAACAAAGTCGCTTCCCGCTGTCTGTCCCTATGTATGCTTAGTTCTTTAAAACAACGCAACGGATTTTAATGCGTATTTTTTTTAATAGATAGAGTGATTCAAGAGGAAGGTTTATATGTATAATACATGCATAATATAGTACGGAAACACTGATAATTTTAGAGGTTTCTAATGTGATGTCGTAAATAAACACATTTTTTTGCGCTTACATTGCAAACGCTGGCTGAACCCTACGAGATAGATCAAAAAAATGTACTACAGTATTGTACATCTTAAAAAGGTCTACAAAAAAGTCCGCGATGGTATATGTCTATCTCTTAGGGATAACCCACAATAACCATTTTTTTTCCTTTACTTTTTATGAGAAATAAAGGCAATACAGCATTAATTCTTATCCAATTAAGTACCTTAAATACATTGTGCATTTAATATAGATCAATATGGCCCTTTACAGCATGTAATTTAAATGAATATTTTCGAAGATATTACAGATTTAAAACGCAGGGACATATCGGTTGCGGCGGTATTATCTAATGACAAAAAAGCTGTAAATATTGTATATAAAGACATTCAGTAGTATATATTAAGTATCAGCATTGCACCCTTGCGAAGCTGGGGTGGGTCGCTAGTTGTATTTAATAAGCAGAAGACGTATTAGAACTATTTTTAAGAATCGATCGAAACAGTTATCGATATTTTTTCCGATTAATAGACTCTACTTCAGGTGCCTATTTTCCCAATGTCCTTAATCATGTGCAATTTTTAATTTTACACTTCAGGGTACATTAAATTGTACGGTACTTCTTGTAGAATCCCGTTATGTATGAGAGAAAGGCTGTCATCCTATATTACAATAAAAGAAAAACGTTTAACGCCGATAATAAAAAAGGTCGAATTTTACGTGGGGTTTATATAGGTATAATAAATAAATACTTTTTATGGTTTGTGTAAGTGCCTAAAGTGCTAAGAATGTAATCGTCTGGCGCTAGTTTGAGCTTAATATGTTACAAAATAATTTACAAATATAATAAATTAAATTAATGCTTACTACTGTAAAGATTCGGATTCTGGGTCAACTGTCTGTGTTGCCAACATCCATCATCAACCACATGGGACATCTTCAGTACTCATACAATGATATTTGGTAACCTGAAAAAAAAAAAACAATTGAAATTAACAAACTTGCTTCTGCTACAATTTTCATACAAAATAATTGTAGAATCCCAAAGATTAGTACGATTAGACCTATAGTTTCGAGAAACGTATTTTATTTTTAATAATTAAAAATTAATTTGATGTTTTGAAACTTCTATTTTATAGTATAAGGAAATCGTTTTAATTTCCATTTCAAGTTCCTTTTACATCAGAGCTTTCTAATCGTAAAACAGAACATATTTCCTTAGTAGGGTCAGTCCCTCTTTTAAACACTTCTATCAAACCACATTTTGATTTGTTTACCTCCTTAAATGTGTTCCTCTATTGTGATTGAATTTCTCAATCATTAATAAATAATATAACACAGTATTGTAGTGTAGGTATTCACTCGTTTAACAGTATACGCATATTTATTAGTTATTATAAAAGAGAATTATGTTAGACATCCAACTGCCATATATGCCAAGTTTTATTATTATTTACATATAATCCCCGTTGTTTCTGGTGACGGTAATATCCTTTGAACCATAAGCCTCTTCCCGAGAAGAGAAAGCTTTGTCGTTAATGCAGATACGTGACAACGATTTAGTAATAGAGTTCCTAAGCTATGTGCATATGTAGTTATATCAATTGGAATGTCTATTTATAAGCAACTTTTTCAACGTTCCTTGAAAATTACTTGAAGGTGTATACCAAACTAAGTTAGTGAAAAGCTTAGCATAAACATCTTCCAATTACTTCATACCATCAACCTACTGCTTATTATAATAATTCTATATCATTCCTTAAAAAAGGTTAGAAGCGTTCGAAATGTGGTGTTATAGGCGGATGATGAGGATATCGTGGGTAGAAAAGGTTAGAAATGAAGAGGTATTGGAAAGAATAGGAGAACAGAGGACTCTATGGAAGTCAATAAAAAATAGGCGAGATAGGTTGGTAGGACACCTTCTCAGGCATGAAGGTCTAGTCAGAGACATATTAGAGGCAGAAACAGGAGTTAGGAGGGGTAGAGGTAGACCTAGATTAGATTACTGTTCGCAAATAGTTAAGGATGTGGGCTGTTCTAGTTTTAGGGAAATGCGAAGTTTAGCTCAGGATAGGAAAGAGTGGAGGTACGTGTCCAACCAGTCTTAGGACTGATGACCTTATGATGATGATATCATTCCTTCAAAGATAGTTTAATACATTGGGAAACAAAAATGTCTGTATTAATCGATTTGTCTTTTGGTCCCGTGCCTCATGTTAGAAATAAAGAGATATTAGAAAGAATAGGAGAACAGAGGACTCTATGAAAGTCAATAAGAAATAGGCGAGATAGGTTGGTACGACCTTCTGAGGCATTAAAGGTTAGTCAGAGACATATTAGAGGCAGAAACAATAGTTAAGAAGGGTATCGAACAGTAATACATGCATTTTCATTAATGTTTTTTGCGAAAATGGTGCAGTTCTGGGAAACGAAATGATCGTGGATGGTACCTAAACCATCACATAAATGAATGTAAATTTTAACTTACAGTCTTACTATATATTAAAGCTACCAGTTTTTGGCTAGGGTTAATTTTGTCGATTTTGGTAAACAGCAAAGCTAACCCAAACACTAAAGGTTCTGTCAAAAAGGAAGGATCTAATAACCCCGATTATGATAGGTGAGTTGAGGGTGATAAGCTTAGAGATGAAACCTTTGTGCCAAACTCGATCGAAGCCTTGCTGAATGTCAAGCAGAAACACGAAGGAGTTGATGGCCAGTACGGTGGTGCCTTCGAAACCAAGTCGATGATAAGGTTTTTTCGCTCTACGTGGTTCAGAAGGGTGGATTCTTTAACTACTTTATTCAGCGAACTGAGGCTGATGAGTCTGTAGCTTGAGGAAGAGCTGACGGGCTTCCCTTCTGTGGGGATACAGATAACGGTGGCTAGATTACTAGACCAAAAGGAAGTGATGGAATCGCATGATAGCGTTTGTGATGTTGCAGAACGTCGTTGGAAATTCTATCAGCGTCAGGGGCTTCTCTCTTTTTCGTAGATCGAATGGTATAAGGGAGATTTCGTGGGGGTCGTGTGTTTGAAGTCGGATACAGAAAAAATAAATAAATCAGCGGAAGGTGAAAATCAAGTTCGAAGAAAACTGTTTTAGACCATCATTTAGCGTGTGTCCCTCAGGTGGTAAACGAAGTCAGTCATGCCGATAAAGGGATTTAAGTACATCCTCATGAGTATCCCCACAAAAGAAATGAGAAATAATGAAACGAAGGAAGCATTATATGTTTTTCTAAGCCGTGGCAAAAAAGTCGACAATTGCGCTTAGTTTAGAGAATGCAGAAAAGTTTCACACATGTTTTAAACTGCCGCCCCTAAAGGTGACCGATTTTTAAAGTCAAGTGTCTTATTTTAAAAACGACAAGAAAAGGCATTTATGGCTTGTAACTGAAATCAGTGCTAAAAGAACTAAAAAAATCCAAAAAAAAAAACGTATTTCCCTTCAAATATAAAATTGTTTTGCTTTTTTAATAGGATAACGCCTAATTCCCTCCCGTATACCTGTTTTTAATGAGGGTTAAAATTTTCGGTATGTCGAATTCCGTCCTAATTATACATCAATTGCCTCCCAACGGCGGCGGATGACCTTGAGTACTAATTGCCACTATAAAGTCATAAAGAGTTGTTTAAATAATACAGCCTCACATCACATATTAATCTTAATATTATTCATATATTATAGACACCACAATAACAATAATAATTTTATCAGACTACCCTTCTGTTGGTCAAATACAAGACAAACTAAAACTAATAAAGTTTTTCTGGATGATTGCATCAAAAAGCTAAACGCACACGAATTTCCAAACATTGAATTTGTTAAGGTAATCGGAAACCATTTTAAAATTAAATAACTGAACATGTTACAACTGATATGTGTTTTCTTTCTGAAATTATTTTATCTTTAATTTACTGAAGTACCGAAGCGCACCATAAATATATATTTATTTTCGATAAATAAAATCGGTAAGTAGTCTTTAACTTAATTATCGGAGCTGATATGAACGGGAGGGAACTCGGCTAGAACCCGTGAGGGAATTCGACTGTCTATATTTTAACCAAAACTACCTGCAGGACGGAATTCGGCATCACCGTTTTAATATGCATAGTTATCTATTGTACCGTAGTATATGTACTTCTGTGTGCAAGTCCAAAATTTCAATTGCTGTTATTAAAAACAGACACACATCGAAAACAATAGACGTAGGCAGCGGTCAAGCTGCCTGCAAGCGCATTTCTTCTTGAAGGAATGTCACTGTGAGTTAGCAGGTACCCACCAGTAATGTTCAATAGTCAGTAGCTGATAGTCAAATGATAAATTAGAGATGTTTAAGAGTACAGCTATTAGAACTTAGAAACTCCGTAAGGAGAATGCGGAAAAATATGCGCAGAAAGCAGTGTACCAACCTGCTAGGCACCACGTAACCATTCAAAAGCGTTGACACGCCTTAAAGCTCGATTCCTGTTTGGGATCAACAACAATTTTTTAAAGGAGGTAGTTTTTATAATTCCTTTTTGTGTACTCTTCTCTATTTAAGAGGACTGTTTCGGTACTATGGCGTGGTTCGGTCAAATCTGATAAGAATTTTAAATTTTCTGTAGATTGTATGCACCTACGGAAGTCAATAAGAAATAGGCAAGGTAGGTTGGTAGGACACCTTCTCAGGCATGAAAGGTTAGTCAGGGACATATTCGAGGCAGAAGCAGGAGTTAGGAGGGGTACAGGTAGACCTAGATTAGATTACCGTTGGCAAATAATTGAGGATGTGAGATGTTCTAGTTTTAGGGAAAAGCGAAGATTAGCTCAGGATAGGAAAGAGTGGAGGTGCGTGTCCAACCAATTTTAGGAGTGATAACCTTATGATTCAATTACCGCGCCTTTTCCATACCACTCTCATTGCATCGAATGAGATAAGGGAAAAACTGTGAAAACTAGGTATATATTGACTTCAACCAGAGTAAAGCAATTACGGATGTGCATTAAAGTAAAATATTCATTTGAGAACTGTATCAACTGATAAAGAAATCATTAAAATTTCCTGTGATAATTAAAGCACATGCAACAAATATGTTGATTTAAACGGACAGAATAAGGATAGACATTAGAAACTGTCTGAAAACCGAACTAGGTTGAGATTGAGAATATTACTTTAACGATTAAATAAATCAAATAGTAAAATATGCGTGTGACCGGCGCAAGTTGAAATGAGCATATCATCAATCCAAATTGAAACTACTACATTTAAGATAAACGTGCATAAATAAGTTTATACGACGTATACATTTGGCCCAGTTACAGCTCGCATTAAAATCTATTAAATGTTGTGCCTAACTCTGTCGTAAAGCGTTAAAAGTGCCCTTTTCATCAAGATAACGAGACTACTCGTCATGTTTCTCATTACGAGCATTGTTTGAGTTATATTATTCTTTAGTTAACGTGAGTGAGCATGGACTTAGTTAAGTAACCACAAACTTATAAAAAACGCACTGTATATATGTCTACAGAAAAGTTAAAAACTCAGCAAATAAGTAATAAGTATGTTAGGTTTGTACTGATCGTACATGAAACAATTTTTCAGTTTTTAATAGTAATTTGTTGGTAATTGGGTTTATCAACTGAAATTTGTTAACTATCTACATATTTTTATCAATTTTGCTGGTGAAGGTTTACGTCAAAAAAATTGGAATTTTAATTGCTGGTTGTAATTACACCTGTAAGATTTATTCAATTATTTTTAAGAAGGAAATTAAAGAAAACGGTTTTTTCATCACTCAATGTTTGTACTTTTAGTCACGTGGACAATGCCACTTACTAACTTCTGATTTTTTGCAACACCATTCTTGATATCATCAAGAATCAAACGCATTACATTCGGGTGTTAAAAGCTCAAGTTACCTCAGTTTTTAAAATTCAGCAAATAAGTAATAAGCGTGCAAGGTCGGTACATATCGTACATCAAACAATTTTTCAATCATACTTTTTTTAATAGTAATCTATTAATAATTAGGTTTATCAACTAAAATTTCTTACAAATTTTTATCAATTTTACAGGTGAAGGTTTGCGTCAAAAAAATTACAATTTTAATTTCTGGCTAAAATTACACTTGTAAGATTTATTTAGTTATTTTTTAAAAGGAAATTAATGAAAAGAGTTTTCCATCAATCAATGTTTGTACTCCAGCTGTACTTTTAATCACGTGGACAATGTCACGACGAACATCTGATTTTTTTGTAACACCTTTCTTGATATCATTATTACAGGTTCACTGTATTCGGCTCAAAGGACTAAAAGGGTTCAAAAATTTCCCGAAAATACACTTATTGTTATAGCGCCTGGGAAGATACAGTAAAATATTTAGATCGCTCTACTTATTATATACCTAATGCTCATCAGAATAATAGATAATATTATCATATATATTACATTAAACAATTAACAGAAAACAAACGCTACTAATTTTTTACAAACACACCTCCCGTCATTGCACTATACAAAAGGAGCCAAGGACCTTTCTCATAAGTAACTGTTTAGTTGAAATTAAATTCAAAATCAGACATGAAGCCGTTGACTTCAGAAATATGATACCTGTCTACCTAGCAATGAAAATCGTATAGTTAATGCACATGTGTAGTTTATATATAATTCAACCGCAGAAACAAATAACAAAAAAAAAAGAAAAAATAAAATACTCAGTATCTCGAAGAACATGAGTTACATAATGTAAATTTATGATAATTGCAAGAATAAATAAATAAAAGGCTGAGATTGAGAGAAAGATGATATTGAAGAAAAAAACCTACAAGGAATTAAAACCTCAAAGTCGTTGGCCTACGAACATATGTATTAAATATTGCATAGTAAATTATAAATGTTACAATATATAAATTACACCAGCAATAAAATGTGTAATCTGTAGAAAGTCATCTACATCTGGATTTCTAAGCAAAACAATCCGTAAACGTAAGAATCAAACGTATTACACTCGTCTTTTTACATTCCGGTATTAAAAGCTCTGGTTACCGCAGCTTTTTGAAAGAACTGATCCTTCTTTTTAACCCTGTGGTATTTTTGGCGACGAATACCTAAATACATTACAATCATCCCTCCTATAGCACAATAGTGTTATTCCATTAATTGGCTAATTATTTATGACGACACAAACATCCTCTAGATATTAACCTAATAACTAAACCCAATTCGCTAGTCCTTTCGCCTTAGGGTGTGCAACACTCAAATTATCGTAACTATTTAACAGTAGAGGTACTTTTCTTTAACCCTACGGTATTCTTGGCTGCGAATACCTAAATACGTTACAATAATCCCTCCTATAGCACAATAGTGTTATTCCATTAATTGGCTAATTATTTATGACGACACAAACATCCTCTAGACATTAACATTATAATTAAACCCAATTCGATCGTCCTTTCGCCTTAGGGTGTACAACATTAAGGTTATCGTAACTTTTTAACAGAAGAGGTCCTTTTCTTTAACCCTGCGGTACTCTTATGATGCCAGAAACATTCCCTAAATATAAACCTAATAAGCAAACGCAAAACACTCGTCCTTTTGCCTTGCGGTGCGCAACACTGAGGTTACAGTAGCTTTTCAAAAGAAGCGGTCCTTTTCTTTAACCCTGCGGTACTCTTGGCTGCGAGTACCTAAATACGTTACAATCATCCCTACTACAGCACAAGAGTGTTATTCGACTAATTGATTAATTAGTAATGACGGCACAAACATCCCTTATATATATACCTAATAATCAAACATATTACGCTATCCTTTTGCCTTCGGGTGTTAAAAGCTCTGGTTACCTCAGCTTTTTAAAAGAAGTGGTCCTTCCTTTTAACCTTGTGGTACTCTTGGCTGCCAAATTAAGTGTGACGTTTTTCCAGGAATGTGTCTTAGTGTAAACAGATTAAATCGATTTTCATCGAAATTGCATAAAAGCCTTTGTGCTAATAGACAGGTTTTCAAACTTAATGGACTTTTAAAATTCGGTTAATCGATTAATTAATTATGACGACACAAACATCCCTTATGTATAAAACTAATATTCAAACATATTAAGCACGTCCTTTTGCCTTCGGGTGTTACAAGCTCAGATTACCACAGCTTTCAAAAAGAAGTGGTCCTTCCTTTTAACCTTGTGGTACTCTTGGCTGCCAAATTAAGTTTGATGTTTTTCGAGGAGTGTGTTCTAGTTGTGTTCATTGAAATTGCATAAACGTACTTGCGCAGATATTTTTTCCAGGTTTTCAAATTAATTGTACTTTTAAAATTCGATTAATCAATTAATTAATTATGATAGCACAAACATCCCTTATACATAAACCTAATAATAAAACATATTACGCTATCCTTTTGCCATCGGCTGTTAAAAGCTCTGGTTACGGCAGCTTTTTAAAAGAAGTGGTCCTTTCTTTTAACCTTGTGGTACTCTTGGCGGCGAATATCTAGATATGTTACAATCATCCCTCTTGGGCCATTGAGGTACGACATGGTATGTCAGGTGTGCTAGGCATCAGCTGTCGAATTATGGTTAACGTTTCGCCAGGAGTGTGTTTTAGCGTAAGTGGGTAGGAAAACGTATTCTCCAAGTTAACATTGTCGTCCGTGAGTCGAACAGCAAGAACCAAACGAGAAACCTGTTCAGTCCGTGTCGGAGACAAGAAACGTGCAGACCATCGGCGTTATTATTATTCTCGTTTTTTCTTTTAATCCTTCGGCGTTTGTTCTTCAGTCCCCTGTTGGATAAATTCTATAACTATACACACATACTAGATAATAGTATGTCAGTTTTGTGTATGTGAAAGCTCTAACGCGGTCATAACTTTTGTGTGATTTCCTCAATTCCAAAATGAAAACTGTCTTCTGATTAAATAAGAAACAACCGACACGTTTTTTTTTTGGAAGGAAAAGTTTGTTTTTGGTGTTTGAGTTTACGTTTATTTTTTTACACGCCGACATTAAAAGATGATCCTGAAGGCGACGTATTCGTTCCTGATCCTTATCGGAGTAACATCAGTAGCATTCGCCAAAGGTAAGTTTTGAACTCCAAAGGTGAACCAAAAAGGAAAATTGTTTTCATTTGACAGAAAAATGATACAGTTATTAGTCAGAAAATTGGCGTAAGGCAAACATGCAATGAGTTGAGATGTCCTGTATCCTGGACTCGTGTCAATAAGCATGAAAATTACGCTAAAAGTGTGGATTTTCCGAACTAAAAAACAACTTTTTTGTAAATAATCAGTAAAACGAAATGAGAACTAAAAATTGCGGTATGAATGACAAAACGAGAAAACTGATAGCTAAAAATAAAAAACGACTTGACAATTATGTATCTTCCAAGTTGAAGTTGAAATAAAAAACACTTAGGTTGTCGGTGGTTCTTTTGGAAGGATAAATGAAGAACTAAACAGGCTAATTGAAAGTGGAAATTGTTTTTATAGAAACTTCCAAGTATCTCCGCTACTTTTATGACTTTTTTACCATTTCAAAAGAACTGGTCCTCCTTTTTAACCCTGTAGTACTCTTGGCTGGGAATACATAAGTGTTTCCTTTGAGGTATGGTATGGTAAGGCAGGAGTGTTAGACATAGGTTACCGAATTATTAAGCTTGACGTTTTTCGAGGAGTGTGCTTTAGCATAAGTGGGTTACCGCTACATTTTAAAAGAACTGGTCCTTCTTTTTAACCCTGCGGTGCTCGTAGCTGCGAATACCTAAATACGTTGTTTCGTAAATTTATATTCAAAATTTTTACACCTGAAGACCTGACCATCGTAAGGATAAACAATAGACATTAAAAGGATTTTTTGAAACTATACCTGGTATTATTATTATCATTATTAGTATATTTATAATACTTTTCTGGCCTACTTGCATACGTTTTGAGACTCAGAAATGCTATTTCATTATTTAATTTGAATGTAGCATCTAATTAGTATGACATTAATTCATATTCTTATCCACGTGTTCGCGTAAGCTACAGTAAATTAGTTTTTTTGATGTTTTAGAAAGTAAGGTATTTATAGCTTAATGTAAACTACAATAAAATACGACTCCTGCAGGTATCTGCCTCATTAGAAAAGCTAATTAGTAATTACATAAGATAAACGCATATGTGATTTTAATTTTTAAATAATTGTTGTAAGAGTTGCTTAAAGTAACAAAAACAGGTTTGTTTATCTACATACTAAACACAATAGTAAGAAAAGACAAAATTTTGACGGATTCTACATTACATATAGTTATTACGTACCTGTAGAGTATTATTACGTCCTAGAAAATTTTAAGATCTATTAATACATTTTACTGTCTCTTAACCAACATTTGCTACAATCATTACCTATTTCCTTTCTCTGTCTTTACTTTCATTGTTAGTGTTTAGAATCATGCTTTGAAAGTGCACTAAATGAGACAAAAATTAATCATTTCAGCTATTCCTATATCTATACTGTTGAATTTTAAAGATTTTCCTTAATCGTAAGTAAGGATTTTTATTACAAATTATAAATTTGGTAAAAACATGTCTTCGTCTTCAACTTTGTCAACATTATTTATTAAACTGAAAGACATACAAAATAAACGAAACCAGAGAACGGTTTTAAGTTAGCAACAATCTAATCGATATATTTAGCACATAGATTCTGCATCTGGCATTTACACATTCAAGTCGTTATAGCCTTGAATTTTAGAAGCTCAATGTAAAAAGTAACGGTTATTCTAGACTATACCAAACTAAACCGTAGTTTACTTAAAAGGTTACAATAAAAATTACAGAACAAATCAGAGCATTCAAAGAACTATGAAGAGTTACTTTTTCAGACAAGTAGACCTATGGTAGTATCATACAAACCGACAATCAACTAAATGTAATAAATAATTGTCCATTAATGTAGAGGTTTTAATCGAATTGCAAAATGATTATAAAACTTATATGGAAACTGTAAGGTGCCTCTATTTCCTATTGGAGCACTATCACATGTGTGTTTATTATGTAGTAACTTCTAATAAATTTTAAATGTATGTACCCCAATTATTTCTTCTTCTTTCTACCCTATCTACTAACCTAAGGGATAGAAATGGAAAATATTTCTCTGCCAGATCGTTTTAAAACGCGAAAATATTCAAATATCAATCGATCCGTTTTTTAACGACAATTGCTATCAATCTGTTATGATTTTATTGAACCCAATAGAATAACCGTAATTTAAGCACAATTTTCCTAAAATCTGGGATCATCTCAGTGACGAACTAAGGAGTGGCGGGCTCCGCTTCACTGATCCTGGAAGCACCAAATTTCAAGTTTAGTTTGGACATTGGAGTCATGTATTTGTCATAGGCATAGTCTTATATTAAATGGCTCGTAGAGTTAGAATACCAAAAATTATTGTAAGACGAGAGCAATTTCTCCTGGAAATTAATAAATTAGTTTTGGAGGGTTTGGCACCCCGTAAGTAACTCTCAGACTCCCTGACAAACTTTCTCATAGACATAGTATTATCTTAAATGGCTCGTAGAGTTGATATACCAAGAATGATTGTGGCACACGAACAACTTCCCCTGGAAAATAATAAATTAGTATTGGAAAGATTCGTGCCCCCGTTATTAACCTTCAGACCCTTTGACAAACTATCTCATAGGTATCATTGTTGTGGGACAGAAACAACTTCGCCTAGAAAATAATAAACTAGTATTGGAGGGTTTCGCACCCCGTACTTAACTCTTAGACCCCCCGACAAACTATAGTTACTTCAGTTTAATTTCGCAGGTTTTAGTTTATAAAGTCAAAATTATAAATCGTTTACATTATTATTTATTATTGGAACAATAAATCTACTATCCCATATACCTGCTAGAAGGAAGAGAATGACGTCCTTATTTTTCTCGACGAGTCGCAGATAACGAACACACTGACAGGTAATAAAAGGCAGACAAACTGTATAAACTGTTCAAGTAGAGAGAAAGATGCACAAATATTATAAAGGACCAGAGTTATCCAGGCTACATTTTAATGGTATATATAAAAATATGCTGACACAAGTCTGCTCACACACTAGAGCCCAGATAACGACTCTGTACTGGGAAAGTGCAATTTTGCACGATTAGCATTTAAGTTTTCTTTATTGTTTTTTGAATATAAATCTTTAGATTTGTTACCAACACGTCTTACCATTCAGACGTGCAAACCTACATCCTTTTTACTTTGTAGCATTTAACGCTTATATTGAGTATTAATGTACAAGTAAATAAATCGTGAACTCATTAACAAATTTGGTAACCTTTCTCAGTCCCCACAACGTTTTTTAGAAATAAATAACTTTTAAAAAACAACCTTCGGAAGACTTAAAACAAAACTCCAGGCAGTGTTCATTACCTGCAACTAGCCGAGGAAGATAAGAGTATCTTTGTTTTCCTTGTGGTAAGAATTTATTGTTCCAATAAAATTTTGACTTTATAAACCAAAACTGGTAAAATTACACAGTAGCGATTGCACCTACGTTCACTCAAAATACTTCAATTAATGAGCAGACTATAGATGTACCTACCACGAACCTCCGATGAGTGTTGCCAGTCACAGGATTATCTTCCCACAGCTGAAGTCTTTCTGATCATTCCGCAGCTAGATTGCAAATAGTGCTTAACAATAATTATAATATAATTTTTTTATAGACGTACCTAGGGATATGTACGTATACGAATATAATAAAAAGGACACCTGGTGAAAACGAAACCGTTTTAATTAATTTCAACGCCTGAAGAGAGAACATAATCCTTTTTCCCATGTTGAATCGTTTTACGGTTCGACCAACAAGGTTCAATGGGTATAGTCTTGAACTAGTTTTCATTGTCTTAAAAGGCTAATAAAGTACAAGTTTATGTATGTCTCGAATCGAACTGAGACAGTTAAGGCTGCGTTTTAATGGCATTCGAATCGTAAAATACGCTTTTATTTAAAGAAATACGAGCTTTATACTATAAGATAGACGAGATTGCAAACTTGTATAATGTCCCTAACATGCGCAAATAATTGCGCTTCAACGTAGCCATTTCCTTCGATCATTTCAAGCGAAAGTTATAACCATATTTTGTCCTTCAACGTAAACGTGATCCGTAATTTGTTTTACAAACCACACTACCATTCGCCACAAAGTGTTGCTTATTATTGCTAACTGGCTCAGTAAATGAAGTAGTCTGATTGGCAAAACAGAGAACAAGAACTGTGGTAAATTAAATGCATGAAGAAAGAGGAATTCATTCCAATCTGCGGCAACCGATCTTACTGAGTGGATACGTGTTTTCTGTGTCAGATTAACCCACGGGTACAGTAGACAATTGCCTATAGGCCTTCGCCAACACAAAACCCCCACCGATATGAATTTACAATAATTAAAATTAAAAACAATTTCAATAAATTTACATCATTTGTTAATTACCACATTGGTTTTTACTAAATAGTATTAGTAGTAAGTTGAAAATAATTTCTTGACCATACGCTCTCCTAACATAGAATCCCACCAAAATCTGCCTAGGGATCCCTATTTTCTTAATCCGGCCTTCCGATGGATGGACTGCTCGCCTACCAGCATTAGTAGCTGGTGATGTACCCAAAAAAAAATTGTAGGTCAATTTGCTCTGGTCAACTTGGAGCAGTAATACTCTTTACTTCTCTTCTTTCACTACCCACCGGTTCCGACGATTCCTAAAAGGATGCTAAAGAAGGCCTTCCGCTGTACGGATGGATTGCCGTCAACCAACATTAGTAGCTGGTACGACCCAAACACCGGAAACCTTCTTTTCTGAAAGTACCGAACGACAAAGCGTGGAGGTTTAGATTATTGACAGTTCCATTCCGGGTCTGTCTGCTCTGATACTTGTTTTTCTGTAGTTTTCTATGACACATGATAGAATCATAATGCGCTACAGATAATCTTCTACTTCTCTTCAGTAGTCATTTTGTCTGCCTTATCTTTCTCTCCCAATAAACACCCATCTGTTTCCACAATTCCGAAAAGAAGACTGAAGGGGTCTCTTCACCC